AATTCACCGACACCCCACACTCACACCCCCACCTACACCCGACAACTGCAACCTCATTCCTTTTTCACCTAATACTCAACTTCGTTTATCTTCTGTCTATTTGTGTCGTTTTGGGGTATGGGTGTGGCTGGTGAAAAGAGAATCCGCATTTAGACTCTAGTTATTTGAATTGATTTTGTTGCCTTGTCTTTTGACTTTTTTCAGAAGAACCAAAAACCTTTGATCCTTTTATTCACATCATGAAAATTCGTATATTGAAGCAGCAAGATCCGAAATTGTCGGGTTCATTCAGAAGCCCCACGCATATCATTAGGTATTGATAGTAAATTCTGACAGTCAATTTAGAAAAGGAATCAAAATCGTTGCATTTTTTGAATACAGCTCGTCAGATGGTATATTTTTCTTCGTAGTTTAGTTGGAAAACGAAATGATGTCTGAACTACTGATAAAATCAAAACCATTAGTTAACCCTTAGGTTTGGAAGTTTTTAATGAGGATTTTTTTTTCTTGGAAAAAGTTTGAAATAAATTTTATTGTTATATAGAAATGTTTAGACGTGTTTTAGAGTATGATAATCTTTCAAAAAACGTATCACACAAAGCTCAACGTTACAAAAATCAGTGACACCGTGTATGACTATGCTTCTTTCCTATCTGCTTGTATGATTACAAATTAATAAGTTGTTTATGTAGCTACACAATTGTAGGATAATAAGAGTTCTTATTTGATCTTGTGAGAATATACATACATGTATATCTAAAGATACAAGTAGCTTCTTGTTTAGAACCAATAGTTTGATTCATACGAGAAAAAATATTGAACGAAAAGAGACAGAGAATATATAGGAATATACTAGAACAAAATAAAAGGTAGAAGAAGCAGGTCTGTCAGAATGCAAGAGAGAGCGCATGAATATACATATAGCGCTGTAAGACAGTAACACAACAATCTTGGCGAGATAAAAGAAGGACAGAGGAGTCCTTTAGATCGAGAATGAATAAGATTATAACTACGGTAATACGTGCAAAAGTTTAATCCTTCTATATACGAGTCCCGTAACCAAAGGGTTAAATGAGCGGTTTTGTATATGTATTGCTGTTATAAGTCGAACTGTTGTTTACGCCATAGAACTATTCTCAGTGATGTAATTCACACTTGCTTTGCTGATAATCTATCTTTACAAAGTCTTTGATCAACAAGTTGACGATAAAGCTTGTCAAGTTCTTCCATATGACGTCTTCGAGCAGCTGATACATAATAAAGTCAAATAGCCATTACCAAATTTATGGTAATATAAAGACCACCAAGAGCAAAAAATGCTTTCTATCAACCCATGTTCAATATGAATCTTTATTCACAATATCGGTAACATTATACAAATAAATAGTAGCACCAATTATCGAATGCCATACACATAGAATGATCAAGACAAATATAGATACAACTATATAGAGATCAATAATAGTTAAATATGAAACGTTTGGCTACAAGAGAAGAACATTAACGATGAGAGAATATACAAAAAAAAGATTTACCAAATAATTACTGATTGTGCATCGAAAGGCAATAGAAGTAAGAAGAAGTGTACATGCTAGGGTGTGCAAATGAACTGAAAGCTATTGCTGTAATCAGAAAAATGAGACAATCACCATTCCAATAGAAATATTGTGCACGACAAGCTACAGAAATATTCAAGATTTATTTTCAGTTTTAAAAAAATGTTTTTTTTTAATATGACAGAGAAAAAAGGGTTTCTTTTATAGATCTTTAACTGCATACGTATTAAGTGATATGTTCTAATACCTGCATGACATGTCATGGTTAAAATTAATCGTTTTCGTTCATGGCCAGGTGTGTCCAATTCATAATCATTATCATTTTGAAATAAATATCCTTTAATAAATTTTGTTTGTATTTCAACATGATCATATAATTTCCATTCTTGTTGATCAGTAAATGCTTCACGATTAATACCGGATATTCGATTTAGATCTGCTTTTAAAATAACTTCGGTATCGAATAAAGCTGATACAATCGATACACTTAAATCTTGAATATCTGTTGGAAAATGATGTAAATTAAATTTTGAATAAAAATTTTCATAAACATCACGACATTCACGTATTTGAGTTCGATAAGCAGATCTTTTTATACTACAATTGATTTTTTCATTACAATCTCGACCACTATTAAGAAGAAATAATTGTGGATGCCAATGATTATTTGGAAAGTCTTTCGAAAATTTAATAATTTCTCCATTATTTAATCGAGTTTGATCATCCATTGAAAGAGAAGAAAATATTTTATTATCATCATCAATCGATTTCAAATCCTATTGTGCTTCGATAGCTATATGAGCTTGAAACTTTTTTGCTTTAGTATCAAGATCATCTATAGAACATATCGATTTGAATTTATGTTTGAACCAAAATTGATATTCAATTATTTAAAAGAATAACATACATACTCAAAGAAAATTAAGTCGAATAGTCACAACAGTTGAATTATTTCCCTTATCGTGCTCTTTTAAAACCTGTGTATCACGAACGGCTGCAAAATAAAATGTAAAGAATAAAAAATTATTTTTATCTAAATCAAACAATAAAACATTTTAATAATTCAATGGATATCTTTCTAACATTTTTTTCTTAATTTTAGCGTATTTACCACGTTTTTTTACCAGAATACAAGCCACTAATACCCATTTCAAAAAAGAAAAAGTGTGAGTATTTTTTGAATAACTTTTGATAGAAACTAGATAGAGAGGTGCGGTTTTCATGGTTGAAAAGAGGAGATGAAACTGCGTCGAACTGTCGATACCAGTTTTTCTTGAACAAGTTTTCTCAGAATCGGCCATCAAGTTTGATAAACACAAAAGATTGTCTAACGTAAAAGTTTTACGATCTCAATTTTTAGGAGTGCACTAGCATCGTTAACTGAAGATCTATAAAATCTGTAAGTTCTATATTATAAGTTTTAGCCAATGATGAGTTATGCACATTTTACTGCATGTTATCGGCCAATTTTGCATAGAAAATTGGCCTGTTTCCTCATTTTTCAACAAAAAAATACACTTTATAAACTTATTCAAAAGCTTCGATTTTTTGAAAAAAATTGGTGAGAGACTCTGAGAACACTTGTCAGAAAAATCTGATGTAGACTATTCAATGCATTTTCATCTCCTCTTTTTTGAACGGTGAAAACCGCATTTCTCTACCGAGTTTTTATCAAAACTTATTCAAAAATATTCACACTTTTTCTTTTTTGAAATGGATATGAGTAGATAAATTTTATTCGCTTACCGTCAAAGTGATTGAAATCATCCGAATCGATATGATTTTTCCAATTACTTGTACCTATTGTGTAAGCAGCCATTGGGTCCTCGTTTCAGTGCTTAATAGTAACCATCGGAAGAGAAAAGCAAGATATTTTTTTCTTTCTTCATATGGTTAGTGAATTGCAAATATCGTCGCTTTATAAACATATGTTGGACGTAAGAACGATAAAATCTGTCTCTCTGTATAGCTAATTATTCATCGCACTTTATCAAAGCAATTAACATAGATATACCATTTCGCACTCGATAATCCAAGGAAGGTGAAAGATCATCGAGGACAAATATTGTCTTCTTAGTCTTGTTAACAATTAGGAAGTTCAGACAAAGAATACTCACTGAAAGATAGCAAGACATATAACTAGTTCATAAGAAGTTGTCTCGAAAATCTTTCTACATAATGAGAAAATCTTGACAGTTTGTTTCAATCGATTGACTTTCAGTTACAGAAACTATTTATTCGATAACACAATAAATATTCGTGAACTTTTTAATATAAGTCTAAAAAAATGGAAAAAATTCGAATATGATTCTATTTCTTTGTAATCCTATCATTTAGCAGCTCGTAATGATCATATCTAATCTATCCATGTAGCGAGAAAAAAGATTCACATCAGTTATAGATGACAGAGACAAACTGCTTTTGCTTATAGTCATAGAAAAAATGCAATAAAACGAAAGATTCTGGAAACAAATGCAAATTCTATCAACAACAACACTAATCGACGATCTTGCTTTCGTTCCTTCCAGATTCTTGTAATTAAGATATAACCATTACAATAGGTTCATAGAACTATTCATTCTGTTGCATGCACATTTTAACCCTTTACCTTCCTTAGCGGTTCCAGAAGGATGTGGATGTCGGGGTCCGTGTGAGTGTGAGCATGATAATAAGCCCACACCCACACCCAATAGTAAGCATTGATCAAAGTTCGAATGTTGATGAGTTTCGTTTTCTACTTGTAGGCAAGGGTTAGAATACGAATGAACAACGAAGAATATCATCAATAATTTCATTTAAATGTTTAACAACGATATCATCAATTTTCAATGAATGAAGGTGAGTAAACTCTTAAATTTGAAATAGAGAAAAATATAATTTTATTTGATCAAGTGTCTTCTCTCGATCGGATACAATAATTGAGATAACATTATCAGGATAGATAACTCAACAAAATACGATGTGAAATTTGTCTTTTGTACTCGAATTTAAACAAAGTTCATTACAATCAAAAGGCTCGGTAATTCTACAAAATTTCGTGCAGACTTAACAAAATGACAGACGAATCGTGTGAACATCAAGATAATCGAGTAATCGGTAGAGTAGTTCAAAGGATAAAAAAGAAGACATAGACTTCATTTTATTAGCATTGATGAATTTTTTTACTTTTCTTTTCTTTTTCTTTATGTGCAATTCGTATGCATTCGTTACTTCGCTTCTCTTTTGTTCGTTCGACACCGAATTGCAGTTGTCAGCAAACTGCAACAATCGAGATGATGCTGTTGACTGTAAAGAAAAAGCGTGCTCAAAACAAATACTCGAAGCTGAAAGTTTGGTAGGCGAATAGAATAGATGATAGCATAGTTTGTGAGAATGTTATCAGAGCTTCTCAAACGCCAATGTTACGTTCGGACTAAAGATTGGGACACATGTAGCCGATAGTGCATAACTAATTCCAAAATTACTTATTATTTTCAACTAGTTTACGAATACAATATTGTTATAAATTTTAATCTATTATTTCATTTTTTTTCGTAGATTTCATAGATTTAATGCATTATGTTCAAACTACACGGATAGCTCGATAAACCATCAAATTACAAGGGATTTTAAAGTATCAAGTTCAAAAAACATCGAAATGTTTCATGATCCATAAAGATTTAGCGCATTACAATCTATTTATGATACGGATACAAGTGTCGGTGTCGGTTTGCATTTGAGTGTTCAGTTCGCTCACGCGCTCAGCATGAGTGTTATAAACATTTTCTTTTTAACATTCAAATGTAGAGCAAATTATAAAAGGATTTTCATTCAATCAGATTTGATCTATTTTCAAATATGAAATTTAACTAAGTCGAATCCATTTATTTATTTTTCGAATTAGTTTTAGTCGCTGTATTAAATTCATCACCAGGTTTTAACCGTTTGACTGAAGAGATACATCTCTTGTCATAAAACAAAACAAAAGAAGATTAAAACGAAAAAAAGCTGTACTATTACCATGATTACAAAACGTCATTAAGACTTGCTTGACGAATAATACAGATGTTATCTTTGCCTAACATTATTATTCTACCTCTGCGTTATTTAGTGTGAAAACGATGGAACAAGAGAAGAACAATGTCGGCATCGTCAAAGAATACATGAAAGTCAGGTGTGAGTGTGAATGAGTCTTTGATTCTCACCCATACCTACGCCCTCTCGATGTATAATATGAATCACTATTCGTTGGTTGATATCGGAATTTATCTGCATGTTGTTGTCCTTGCATATAAAAACAATACATACAATGATTACCATTAAGTATTAAACGTTGACTGTATTCACAGCGAGTGCCTGCTAATATTTTATCTATTGTCATATATAGCATTATTGATAATCGAATACTCATTTCAAGATCTAAATGACAATTAATGACATGAATAGCAATCGTAGCCAATATGTTTATTATCTGAACGACAAAAAAAAATATTTCATAATAATGTTCATTGGATTCTCCCTACTTTGGTCGAAAGTACAAATGCAGAAAGTAAAAATGACGACAGTAAAGTGCCGAAAGTAACAATGTCGAAAGCTGATGTTGATACTTATGAATATTTTCTTGGTGAGAAAATTAATAGGCAAGCAGCTAAATCCCAATCAAATGTTTACCATTTAAAAAGAAAGAATGCAATATCACAAAAAAGTTTTATATAGCGGTTAATTGACACTAAAATAATTTTTCTTTTGAAAGTGTGAGTGTGGACATGGGTATGGGTGCGGCTGTGGGTCTAAATGAACGATTCAGAGCCACCCACACCCACCCTTTCGGCTTTTATACCTTCAGCATTTTTACTTTCGATATTTTATTTTCTACATTTTAAGTTTCGATCAAAGTTGAGAATACCGTTCATTGAATGACAACCAATTGAAAATGTAGGTTTTAGAAGATTTTGAAATATCTTTCGTTTGTCTAGACAAACAGTAATATTAGTATTACTTTTATTACCCTTACTATTTTGCTTGGTCAGTAATAATGATTCAGTTTGAGGAGCAAAACGAATACGAAGAACGTCGTCAATATTAACGGTGTGAGACTGCGTGGAGTGCGGATATGGGTGGGTGCGAGTGTTGGTGTGAGTGTGCATACCCGCAACCATAAACACAATCACACCCCAAAATTGTTCAAACATACATGGAAACGAAATTTTGATCAATAGTGTCTGATGCATCTTTTTTAGTCGACACTCCGGAGCTTGACTTGACCCCATTCGAGTCGGGGTCGAGTTAGGATCTTCAAGAATGCAGGCCAAGTTGAGCCAAGTCGAGTCTTGATTGTTCTAATTCAGTTTAGTCTATGACTCGAACTTCAACCCAATCAATTGCAACTGATTCCGACTATTTCGAACTCAAGAATTGGAATTGGTGAGGTTCGGAATCGGTGCATCTCCAGTTATACACTAGCGCGTTGTACTCTCAAGAGTAGTCTCGTACTCCATCGTGATTCATAAGGCTATGTAAACGTTAAAATACTAAAGGAAACAAAATTATGAGAAACAAATATATCGAATAATTTATTAGGTGTCAGTAGAAAATTCGATGTTTTTATTTGTATTGGTCACCCATCGGCCAGCGCATTTTATTCTTTTGTGAATGAAAAAGAATTTTTTCTTAATATTAAACATATATATATAATCTAAATGACCACAACAACAAGTTCTATAAATAATTCATCTAACACTCAGTAGTTTGAAATATTGTTCGCTACATCAAATAAAGGCAATCCGGGGTGTGGGTGTGAGTTTTACCCTTTCCCATACCCACACCCTTATTTGTATCTTAGCTTACAACATTCGATTTGCAACTAGATTGTTAAGGAAGCCACCCGGATATTTGGAGGTTTATACAATTAATTCAAAGTGAACATGTTCGTTTTGAACATATTTCAACACAATTTAATGCTGCTGCATCAGCTCCACAACAATCGAAAAAAGCAAAAACTTTTCAGATGAGACTTGATACTCTTCATGATCGATTTATAAAGAAGGAAATCAACGCAAATGAATTATTATCAATTTTATCATTGTTAACTGGAAACGAAAAAAAATAAAATATTATTATGCTGTCAACATTGTCTTTTCCTTTTTTTTATTCTACATTAATAAAACAGGGCATTGCTTATGCATTACAAGAATATAAATATGATCATTCTATCTTTCTTTCAAGTTGTTTAAGCTTTTGATATTTTCCTCTTTCGACATTCTCCACGAAGATCATGTAAACACTAGATGGATTGTTTTATAGCAATATATCACTCAGCGTTAAAAAAAAGGTGTTTTTCGTTCGAAAGGATACTCGTCTATGTGTAGATTTCTTTTCATTTTATATACAAGAGATAAATTTGACACATATTCTGGACTTATAAAAGCACTAATTCAATATAGTTCAATATAACGGGTTGTCCTTCAACCGATAATTCCAATTGTTGACTTGCAAATTGAGGAAAGACCAAAGCTGTTATCGTATATTTGCCACCATTAATGAATACTTCGACTGAACATCGATCCACTAATATTTGTAGCTTCAGAATACCTGTTATTAATGTTTCATCATCGAGCGGTGCTCTAAATCTTTTAAAAAAGCTAGAATGAAATTTGATATTACCAGAATGAGTACGATCGAATTCCACTTCATTTGTTGTACCTAGATATATAATTTCTGTATACTCGCGTTTGTCAAGACTTTGTCGAACATGTAACCGTATAACTGTGTCTTTCGTAATGTTATGAAATTCTGTTAACATTATAAACGCATGGCTAGAGATATTTCGTAAGATATTTGACGTGCTTGAGTTGAGAACTTGACGATGAAATATAAAAACTTTTCTTGAATAGGAATAAACTTCATGAACAGGTAATTGTCGAAGAAAATACTTTTTGGTAAATGAACTATAATCAAGCTTCAACTGACGAGGAATACTCATTTCACCTCGCCACAATGGAGCTGTCGGAAGGTCTTGTGCATATCGCCAATTATTCATCCACGAGATAATTATTTGTCTTCCATCATATCGTGGAACATTATGATAAGTAATACCTGCATAAAAATCAGGTCCATAATCAAGCCAGTTTATCGTATCTGATGATTGAAGATTTTGAAATGTATTTCCATTGAATGTACCGATAAAATACCGCATACCTGTTCCACCAGCGATCGCATTGTTTCCCACAGATACTAATAAAACCCATAGGCTAGTTTGATTTTTTACTCTTGTCGACGAAAACTCGATCAAGTCGGGACATTCCCAAAGGCCGTCATGGGAAACGTGTTCATAACCAAAACGAGACGTAAGCGTCCAATGAATGAGATCGGTAGATTTATAAAATTGTACATGATTACCACCAGTTAAAACCAAAATCCACGAAGAAGTCGCTTCATGAAACATGACTTTTGGATCACGAAAATCGGTTTTCATAGATTCAATATTGACAATATCCGATTTTGAAATGCTACTGTTCAATGTAATAATTGGATTCAAATAATATTTAGTCCATGTTCGCCCTCAAAATAGATTAAAAAGGAAATAAGATAAAAAAAAGTCTTGGATTCATATCATAATTAGCTGTTTGAAACTCAAAATAAATGTGCATTTCGATATTTGATTACCTCGATCGAGACTGTAAGCCATATGTTGTTCTTGCCATTGTAGTTTTGCGCATGTATAAATCGCAATCATTGTATGTATGGTTGTTTCTCTCTGATATCCAGTAACATTCTTCAGATCGATAACAACTGAACCTGACCAAATACCAACTTTTTCATCTTCAGGTTTTATCGCAATCGGCAGATCGATCCAGGTAATCAAATCTTTGCTAACTGCATGACCCCAATGAATATTCATTGGTCTAGGTTGGTGAGGATAATGTTGATAGAAAAGATGCCATTCACCATCATAATGAACAAGCCCATTCGGATCATTCATCCAATTCCTTTTAGGTGAAAAATGAATTAAAGGACGATGTGGATGAAAAAACGCTGATTCAATCGACTAAAAAACGTAAATGACAATCAAAACTCGTAACAACAAAAATAAGTTCATTTTACATCTGGTAAACTGTTGCACATGGGCACATACTGATTTAGCCGGCTAGAGCAAACAATAATTTGTACCGGTATTCATAATGTATATATGCATACCTGGATTTCCCATATAACGAGGCAGCATATTTTATGATCACAGTCACTGTACATACACTGACAAATATATAAAGTATCCTTTGTGATGGATTGTTAGAGAACTGTTCAAAAGGACTTGGCATAATGAAGCTTTCTATCAGAGAAATAGTCAATGTCTTGATTTTATATGGAAAGATCGACATGAAACATCTGCCACATTTTTTTCTGAAAAAATGCTGTATATTTTATAAACAACTATAAAAGAACGGTTTTTCTGAAAAGTTTTGAATTCAAAATATGGATGTGGGTGTGTGTGTCGGTAGAATGCAGATATTATCATCGCCGTTATCCACACCTACAGTAAATAAAAACGCTGAAGTCAAACATTTTAGTCATTATTCATAAACCAGTTCCTTTTTCAGTATAGACAAATGACTTTTTTTGACCACTTAGTCTAAACCACACGAGTTAGACTATTTATTGGATTTTTAGAAATAGCTTTTCGCCAAGTTCTAGAAAACGTGGTCTAAATTATTTGTAACAGTCAAATACACAGTCTATTTTTTTCTGTCTAGAAATCAGTCAAAACATTTGTTTTTTTTTTCACAACATTTTTTCTTGTGTACAAACGATCTTTGAATTCTGCTTTACTCGCAAAGATCAGAAATATTTCGCCATATTATAGTCAAATGGGCTTTATTTATCACTCAAAGAACGTCGCTTTTTTGTTTTCTATGGAAGAAGCTACCATATACAGCAAGAAATTGCAAACAGTAATCCTAAGAAGAGTAGTAAAGTTCTGAGAGTCATGAATATTATAACGATCGCCAAATAAATGACCAATTTATGTTATTTCTTCTACACAGTATGAATATTTGGATGAACAAGAGTGCCTGGAGATAGAAGAAACGGATGATGCATGGTATTTACGAGAATTTTTTAAAAAAAACATAAAAGTGACAGCATCACTTTTAACAGCTACGTTCATCGCCTTTATCAACTCTAAGGATCTCAATTTGTCAGTGTTGAGGAATATGAAATCAATTTTTTTGAGTTTATTAAAAGTAGTTTATTGTATCATTATCAAAGAATATGATTTTCATCTTTCCACTAAATTTGAATCCAAAAAAAGGATGTTCCATCATTTTTCGATCAGCAATTGCATCATGATACTCAAATACATAGGATCTGATAATCAATAAATATTAGGCATCAATCAAAATTCACAGCATATCCAGTATAGTATAGTTACGATGGTAAGGGTCAGCGAATTATTTTTTTTTATTTCTATAATTCTATTGATATGACGGATGACGATCACACTGTTAGATCAGATTAAAAGTAAGTATCAAATCTGTAGTATGTTGTCGTTCTGAATATAGTGAAAGTGGTGAATCTGACTGAATAAGATCAAACCAAAAATTATACTAATATTAGGATAATAATTGAGTGAAATTAGAAAACTGTCTTTATAAGAAGACAAGGAAGTTACGCATATCAAAATAACATGACTAAGAGAAGGATCTAATGGCTTAACGCAGTATGTAACTATTGGGTAAAGACAGAAACGAAAATATTAACATTTAGAAAAAAAAACTCTGTTTTTGAATGAATTTTATGAACTAGTTGAAGAGAACATATTAAAGCTGATCACATTGCGACAGTATTAATATGAATCAGGAACCTAAAATTTCGTAAACAGTCTATTTAAAATTTTAATCATAACCAATTAACAAGTGCAAACAGTAACTTACCGAAACAGCTAAAAATACTAAACAAATAATAAAAAAAATCATTTCTCATCTTCCAGGGCAACGATTTTCCATATTATATTTCGATACCTACATTTTCTGCTTGAAAAATGGAGTGTTTTATTGAAAACTTAGAAAAGCATTACAGATAGGCGGTCTATCTACTTTAAGAGCCTGTTTGAACCTTTGCTACTCAGCTAGACATACGTGCGTTTGTTAGTGCATCAATCACTTCTCTTACCGAGAACATAGTTTTAAGCATTAGGTTCAATTGCGGTTTTATCTTCGTAGGAACAAAAGTCACACCCAAAGGTCATGTTCTTAGAAACCATGTATTTTATTTCGAGTACTTAAGAACTAGATAGTGTGTACTGTATTTCGAGGCTCAATAATTCAAATGTGATTTCTAGTTCTAGATTCTTTCAAATGGGAAAAATTTTTGAATCCCCTTTCCGAACAACCTAAAAGCACGTAGTGATCTGCACAGAAAGAAAGGAAAATTATTTCTATGCATTTCAGATAGTCTAGAACGTCTAAATGTGCATGGTCAGATGTATTCATGTTCTTAAAAGAACGGAACTCTAAGATGAGAAAACATTGATAACTCTATTGTCAAAGTATGTTCACCAGAAATTATTATGATAGGGGAAATGTAAACTGAATGATCAACGACACTATACGATGTCTCAAATAAATGAGTAGTGTTGGGTAAAAAATATTTTTATACAAGATTAAAACAAATACCTTCGCTTTTTTTCTTTAACCAAGCAACGATTGTTGTCAAACGAAAAATTGAAAGTAACCAACTGTTTCGTTGATTAGCAGAACAGCGAATATTTTTTTTTGCGTTATGAAGCCTACTCGCATTTTTTGAAAGAGAACAACTCAAGGCCAACGGAAGAGCCTTTTTTTTCAACAGTCATATGAAAAAAAAATTTTTGTCGCTAGAGCAGTCAGTTTCTACATGTGGCTTCATGCACTTTGTGCACGGAATCGTATGTTTTAATGTTAAAAAATACTTTTGCTGCACAGTTTGATAGAGAAACTCATATTCTGAAAGATGTCTTTGTAGAGTTATCGGCTGTATTTGTTGCAGCAAGGGTGATATTGCTCACCACCAATTGAACTCATTCAGTCCAACAGTGAAGAATCATTTTCATGTATCTCGTCGATAACAGTGTTATGCCCGACGATGACCATTAAAAAAACAACATTAACCGAGAGAAAGTTATTAAATTTATCATTTTCGTTTCATTCATGACATTTGCTTATAGAAAATTTAACAGTAGTGGACGATGTCCTTAATACTTAATATCGAACCAAAAGTCAGATAAATCATCAATACTTCCGTCAACCTGCAGAGGATAAACACTATACTCTCGTCTATCCCTTGCAGGGTGTGGCCGTGGGCGATGGCAATATCTACATCCCACCAACATTCACCACCACATCCTAGTTTATGCTGCTAAAAATCGTTCACAACAAGCATTAACATATTGGCATAAAGCAAATAAGATTTATTGGTTATTAGAATCGAACAAGAACTTCGACTTCTTTTATCGAAAATTGTGAACCCTGAATCTATAAAAAAACAACAGCAAGAAAACGTTTTACAGCAACTTAAAATGATTTATGTTTGATTTTGTTTATGAATGAAAAAGCCAAAAAAAACCGGATTGTTTTTTTTTTGAAAAATGATATGTCTCTTATTTATGTAGCACTGCTCTATTCTTTTTATGTTATACTTTCTAGAACTTATTAGAAAATCGATAGATTTTATTTTGATCTTTTAATATTTACCAAACGAATTTTATATGAATTGTTTACTTACATTAAAATATTATCAAAACATTGAATAACAAATTTTATTTTAATTTCGATAGTCACTTTTCAATAACTAACAATACAATTCAAGGAGTAAGAAAAAAAGAACGTTAGATTTTCTCATTTTCCTGTAACGGGTATAACTAATTTATTTGTCGATGTTATTGAATGGTCGTTATAAACGTTGGCGAACAAAACTTACAGAGATATCAATATATAGGACTCACTTTTATCTTAAAAGAAATTTTGAATCCTTTCATTAGTTGTTATTTCGAGCGAAGTGTATTAATATGAATTAGAAATGTATTGTTCTCTCTACTGAAAGGAGGATCTTACGAAAAATGAGTTGTTACGTTCGTATGTTCGTTCGTTCGCAGAAGAAGAAAAAATGTTCTTTCGACCTTTTGCAAGTTGGAAACCTCTTTGAGCCTAACAGACTTCGTCGCAGAGATTGGTCTTTTCCGACTAAAGTTCTATTGAACAGCTCAATCAGATGTTTCCTGGGTCCCGCACTCAACCAATAGGGTTTCAGGTGGCAGAAATTTAGCCAGTCAGATGTTCTTCGAGCCCTGATCTGAACCAATAGGATTGGCTGGGCTTGATTTATGGAAAATCTCAGCTCAAAAAGCCACATAAGATCTTGAAATCAGAAGTCTAATCGTGTATGATCTTGTAATATCAGACGCCAATCGTGCGAGAAATTTTCATGTCTGCAAAATTTATATCAAGTCTTAATGTACGATTCTTCCAAGAGCATCCAGGTCGAGAAATCAGACCATAAGATCAATGACAGATTCTTGTAAGTCTGTATCAGATATTACAGTAATGTCGTACCTGATCCTATATGATCATACGTAAAATCGTATGGAAAATCGTCGTGTCTGGAATTTTACATCAGATCTTACACTAAGATCCACATTAATACCCTTTTTCGGTACACTACTATACCTATACTCTTGTGAGAACATCACGCTACTTATATCCTCATGAATATATTACTCTACCTATCCTCTTTGGAGTATATCACGCTACCTGTTTCCTCATGAATATAGCACTCTACCTTTAGCCTTGTGAGTATATGACGTCACGTATATCATTATAGATATATCATTCTGCCTATGGTGTTGTGAGTGTATCCCTCGACCTGTCTCGTCATAGATATATCATTCTGCCTATACTCTTTTGAATATATCATTTTACCGATATCCTCATAAGTATATCATTCTTCCTA